GCCCTTTGGGCCCGGGGGGAAAAAAAAAAATTTTTTTATTTCTGCTTTTCTGGGGCAAGTGAGGGGCGCAGTGGCATTAGGCGGGCCAAAAAATGCAGAATCAACTTTTACTCGCCGGAAAAATTCGATTTTGGCGAAAGTCGACTTTCCTCCCGAAAAAAGCCTAAATATGGCCCTTTGGGCCCGGGGGGAAAAAAAAAAATTTTTTTATTTCTGCTTTTCTGGGGCAAGTGAGGGGCGCAGTGGCATTAGGCGGGCCAAAAAATGCAGAATCAACTTTTACTCGCCGGAAAAATTCGATTTTGGCGAAAGTCGACTTTCCTCCCGAAAAAAGCCTAAATATGGCCCTTTGGGCCCGGGGGGAAAAAAAAAAATTTTTTTATTTCTGCTTTTCTGGGGCAAGTGAGGGGCGCAGTGGCATTAGGCGGGCCAAAAAATGCAGAATCAACTTTTACTCGCCGGAAAAATTCGATTTTGGCGAAAGTCGACTTTCCTCCCGAAAAAAGCCTAAATATGGCCCTTTGGGCCCGGGGGGAAAAAAAAAAATTTTTTTATTTCTGCTTTTCTGGGGCAAGTGAGGGGCGCAGTGGCATTAGGCGGGCCAAAAAATGCAGAATCAACTTTTACTCGCCGGAAAAATTCGATTTTGGCGAAAGTCGACTTTCCTCCCGAAAAAAGCCTAAATATGGCCCTTTGGGCCCGGGGGGAAAAAAAAAAATTTTTTTATTTCTGCTTTTCTGGGGCAAGTGAGGGGCGCAGTGGCATTAGGCGGGCCAAAAAATGCAGAATCAACTTTTACTCGCCGGAAAAATTCGATTTTGGCGAAAGTCGACTTTCCTCCCGAAAAAAGCCTAAATATGGCCCTTTGGGCCCGGGGGGAAAAAAAAAAATTTTTTTATTTCTGCTTTTCTGGGGCAAGTGAGGGGCGCAGTGGCATTAGGCGGGCCAAAAAATGCAGAATCAACTTTTACTCGCCGGAAAAATTCGATTTTGGCGAAAGTCGACTTTCCTCCCGAAAAAAGCCTAAATATGGCCCTTTGGGCCCGGGGGGAAAAAAAAAAATTTTTTTATTTCTGCTTTTCTGGGGCAAGTGAGGGGCGCAGTGGCATTAGGCGGGCCAAAAAATGCAGAATCAACTTTTACTCGCCGGAAAAATTCGATTTTGGCGAAAGTCGACTTTCCTCCCGAAAAAAGCCTAAATATGGCCCTTTGGGCCCGGGGGGAAAAAAAAAAATTTTTTTATTTCTGCTTTTCTGGGGCAAGTGAGGGGCGCAGTGGCATTAGGCGGGCCAAAAAATGCAGAATCAACTTTTACTCGCCGGAAAAATTCGATTTTGGCGAAAGTCGACTTTCCTCCCGAAAAAAGCCTAAATATGGCCCTTTGGGCCCGGGGGGAAAAAAAAAAATTTTTTTATTTCTGCTTTTCTGGGGCAAGTGAGGGGCGCAGTGGCATTAGGCGGGCCAAAAAATGCAGAATCAACTTTTACTCGCCGGAAAAATTCGATTTTGGCGAAAGTCGACTTTCCTCCCGAAAAAAGCCTAAATATGGCCCTTTGGGCCCGGGGGGAAAAAAAAAAATTTTTTTATTTCTGCTTTTCTGGGGCAAGTGAGGGGCGCAGTGGCATTAGGCGGGCCAAAAAATGCAGAATCAACTTTTACTCGCCGGAAAAATTCGATTTTGGCGAAAGTCGACTTTCCTCCCGAAAAAAGCCTAAATATGGCCCTTTGGGCCCGGGGGGAAAAAAAAAAATTTTTTTATTTCTGCTTTTCTGGGGCAAGTGAGGGGCGCAGTGGCATTAGGCGGGCCAAAAAATGCAGAATCAACTTTTACTCGCCGGAAAAATTCGATTTTGGCGAAAGTCGACTTTCCTCCCGAAAAAAGCCTAAATATGGCCCTTTGGGCCCGGGGGGAAAAAAAAAAATTTTTTTATTTCTGCTTTTCTGGGGCAAGTGAGGGGCGCAGTGGCATTAGGCGGGCCAAAAAATGCAGAATCAACTTTTACTCGCCGGAAAAATTCGATTTTGGCGAAAGTCGACTTTCCTTCTGAAAAAAGCCCAAGTATGGCACTTTGGCTCCGGGTGAAAAAGAAATTTATTTTTGCATTTCTAGGACCTGCGAGGGTTTCATTAGCATCAGAAAAGTTAATCGATATAAAAACTGAGGAATCTAATCGAAACTAATTTTCATTTTTGAAGCCTTGCAGAGGCTGAAATAAGCCTTGATAAAGGCTGGACTGGGCCTGACTTGAATCTCGACAATAGTCCTTTGAATCACCCTCATTTCAGGCTGGAGTGAACGATGAAATCAAGCGTGTCCCAGGCTTGCAGGTCAGCCTATATAATTCCTACCCGGGGAATCGAACCCGGAACCTCTGGCTGCGTAAGAGAGCACCTTCTACACTGGACCACACATCCAACTAGCCCTACTTATTTGAATCACATGGTTTTCCTTCATTCAAAAAATAAAGTTCACGCGCTCGTAACATAGCAAACTCCTCTAGCCCATGGTTCATAAAAAGTCGACTTTTGGTGGAAGTTTAAAAAACGACGAGACTTATTTTTGCCCTAGAATGGGAAAAGTTCGAGGTCATGAGCCGAAAAAAACGACTTCACTCACTCACAGCAGAATACGCTATTTTCTAAACCCTCACGCGATCCCACCTCGGAGAATTTCATATCAAACACGTCATGTAGGAATACACCATGCACACCGCGGACCAAGCGTACAGAAAGAGAGACGGAAAAACCCGGTGAATTCGGCTCTTCTTTCTTTTTCAATGTCGTTCAGACTAGGTGTACCAAGGGGAGGGGCGGTGGTGGCGGGAGTAAAGGGACTAATGAACCGTAATCCCCCGGTAATGACGCACTGGGCTCAACTGGCGCCGATACGACCGCTTCATCCCTCTTTTTCTCTCCCATCTCTGCTTCTCCATCCAGCGCACCCATATATATAGAATCTCAAAGCCTATTCGCATAACGATGAATAGGGTATTTTTCCATCATAAAAAAAAATATCATAAAATAACGAGGAAAATCAGATGAAAAGGGAAAATGAAGTTGGATTGATCGATCGGATTTTAGTATGATTTTCAACATTGAGTTTTTAGGGCTAAACTTTGGGAGTCGTATTCTCTTCCCCTTCTTTGATGGGAACCATATTAGCTCAGTCCTCAGGGGGAGAACCATGAAAACTTTTTTTTTCGATAAATCTTTGGCAGGAACTTTTATATGATCATCAACTTTTGGGCTGTGTTTGCTGAAACTTTTTAATTATTCCATCATGTGCTGCGAACAAATGGATTTATATTCAGTGAAAAAATGATGATGAATGAAGCATTTGAATAAATAAATGGGACGTTATGGGTTGAAACAAATGATCCTCGAGTGAAGTGTTACCTCGAATGTCTAGACTGTATGTCTTAATGACTTATTTTGAGACACTAGAAATTTTAGCAATTTTAGTCATTTTTAGTCATTCTTCAGGGCATCTTGAACCCGCATTTCCTGCAATTTCCAGCAGCTCTTCTCTGCTAGTTACATTGAGCTTTGAACCTAAGGAGCCAGGCACACAAGGTCTGGCTGTCCTTTGTAGAGCCAAATCCTTTGGTGCTTACGTTCTACAACGGTATAGACGATATTCGCGTGGGGATGTCAATATCGTGCATTGCACATCTCTGGATCTAAATGGGAGTATTGATCACCTCCGGCGGTGAGACTAGTTCGGAATTTCCCCCCCTGACGTTTGTTCCTGTTAACAGCGTGTTTAGTGTAAATACAATCATGGATTTTGCTCAGAAGAACTCTTTGATAATTAAATCATGAAGGGACGAAATCTCTTTATTAGTTTCATAGAAAAACTTGCGCGAATTTTAGCGAAAAATCTATTAATTTTTAACCGCAATATTTTCCAATGGAAAATAAGTAAAATTTTAATTTTCTATGCAACTTTTTGTATTGAGTCTTTCCAATAGAAATTCCCCGACAGGAATTTTCTATTTTGCCACTCCATTTTCCTTCTTCTTTGATTAAGAACATAAAATAAAAAACTAAGAAAATTTGGAAAATAGAAATTTTCAGCGAATTTGCCAAATTTTTCCATGAAATCCCTTCGTACATGTCGATTATCAACTTCATGACAATTTTCTTGTCAACTCTAGCATATTGTCTTTCCAAAATCAAGAACATGACACTCAGAAACTTTCACAAAACAGTCCTCCGAAGGCCACGAGTAAACCCAGCATGACCCTAAATTCCCCAAGACCTCATCCACTATCTCTCCTTGAATTTCAGTCACGCCCTGAATTTCCATCGACGACATGAATGTATCATCCGGAAAAGCCCCCATACACCCCCCGAAAAACCTGAAGACGATGAAATGTCGTACAGAGGTCATACATCCGAAAACCGAAAAGCCTGCCTGGCGAGACTACGAACGCCCGTTTCTACTGACCACCTGTTGCCCATTTCCCATTTATATTTTAGACGCCGTTTCGTGCCCCAACCTTCCTTATTTCACTTCTGCCTCTTCTTATTGTCCGGGATTCAACGGGAAAATGGGAATTTGATGGTAATAAATTGTTAATGTGTAAATTGTTGATACATTACCCCCTCTCCCAGTCCCTCCAATTCACCATTTTTCCTCGATGTAAAACGAAACAAAGGGAATTGAAATGCATTGTTGGCTCAGTAACATCAGAGAGTTCTTGTCGAGGGATTATAATCAATATTGCAGCCACCTCTATAATAATCCCATCATAACGCGCAAAGGCTAACACGTAATACGTCCTATCCCCGGATCTCGTGTGCATCACATAGACGCCTGATTATGTAAACCAAACGCTCAATCCCTCGTCTCTCCACCCCCTGCGCAACCCTTGGGCGATTGTACCCGCGTGTGTATGTTCCTCTCATTAGACCGTTATACAAGTGAATATTATTCAATGACGATAAAGCTGATGATGTTGAATTATTTTCAATTTTTATTCCACTTTTGTTTGCAGGGTGCCTCATCCAGTCTAGTGGTAAAATTCGCAGACACTGAGAAAGAGAGACAACTCCGGCGAATGCAGCAAATGGCCGGAAACATGAATAGCCTCCTCAATCCCTTTGTATTTAATCAGTTTGGACCTTATGGTGCTTATGCTCAGGTAAATATTCATGTCGAATCGGCTAAGAGTTCAGTGTGTGGAAGGCTCTGGGTTCGAGTCCCGACTAGAGCGAATTTGCCAGTCACGTGCATAGAAAATATTACAATGCGAACAACAATGGATGATAATGCGAAAAAAAACAGATGCCGGAGACAGTTCATGGGCTTAAAAAAATTAAAATTCAATTTTTTTACTTGTTCTTCACAATTTTTAGTTTTTCAATCCAATTTTCTATTCCATCGAATTAATGGCTAATAAAACTTTAACGTACTTATGCGAAAGTATTTTACAGCATGCAATAACATTTTTTATGCGCGTGGCGGATTTTTAAGGACAATTTCAGTATTGTTACTACTTAATGGTGATAATCCAAAACATTTTTTACGTGAAAAATCGAGAAATGTAAATTGAAATATGAAAAAATTTGATGAGTGCAATAGACTCTTCTTCTTCTGGAATAGAAATTCAATTTTTTATTTATTAAATTCATTTTTTTCCTTCATTAATTTTCAATTTTTCAGTCGTATTGAAAATTCAGCCATAAAATGAGTTTTATTAATGAATAATAAAACGTTAGCGCATCTATGTAAAAGTATTTTACAGCATGTGATAACATTTTTTATGCACGCGACATTTTTGTCGCTCTTCTCCAGAATAACGATATTTACTTTTGAAAAAAGGACATTAAATTTTCAGTATCTCAATCGGTCAATGACAGTAACGCTAGATAATCGAATTTCACAAGAAAAATTAATTAAAACATGAAAAAAAAATCATCCATTTTTCTAATGAGCCTTTCCCTTCATCCATCCGATGAATGAATAATAAAACTTTAGCGCACCTATGCAAAAATATTTTACAGCATGTAATAACATTTTTTACGCACGCGACAAATTTTTTCCCTCTTCTCCAATATACCTTCTGTCACCTTTAAAAAAGTACATTACATTTTCAGTATCTTTATTAATCAATGACAATAACCCCGAATAATCAAATTTTACAGCAGCAAGCAGCACTCATGGCTGCAGCGACTGCTCAGGGTACCTATATTAATCCAATGGCAGCACTAACCGGACAATTGCCCCATGCGGCATTAAATGGCATGCCAAATTCCGTTGTTCCACCCAGTTCCGGTAAGCAATTTTTTATTTCTCTCTTCTCCCCTAAAACTTTGAGAACAAAATGAACGGTTTGTAGGAATGGGGGGCAGAGGGGGGGGG